TATTGCTGGACGGGAGGAGTACGAAGTCTCCTCCTTAATTGATTCCAGATTTTCTTATGGTTTTTTGCAGTAACTGGTTGATTGGAAGGGTTATGGGCCTGCCGATCGTTCTTGGGTTTCTGTTTCTGATATACATGCTAGCTGCAAGATCCGTTCTTTCCACTCCAAATTTCCTGTCAAACCTGGTCCTGCCTGCCCGGTGGGCGGCCTTCGAGTGGGGGGTAATGTCACGTGTCCTTTGTATCCATGCGGCAAAAACTGAGATAATTACCTTCCGAAGATCGAGGGGAGTGCCGCTAGGCGGTCTTCTGCCATGATGCCTGGCTTGTGTGGCATGTCGGTGCATGCCGGCCACTGTGGACCCACGCAATTATATAGCCCCACGTCCGTCCATGGTAAAGACGATGTCAACGTGTGGATGAGGTCACGCAAAAAACGCACATGCACGTTTTGGGGTCAAGAGCTAGGTACAGCCAATCGGATCTGCAAGAGGGTTATTTAAACTTAGCTCATTGCCCTGTCATGGTTTCCCTTAGATTGTTATCTGAGAGTGTGTTCCTGATCGTGTTTTTCTGGTTTTTGACTTTGACTTTGTTTTGACTTCCCTGAGTTCTGGTACCCTTGACTTTTTGGCTTTTCCTTATCGCTGTGTCTCGTTCTGTGTCCCTGACACGGCTAGTTTTCTGACTATTCTCAGGTACGGCAAGTCCAGCCATTCTAAGGCCCAGTAAGACGTTACCCTTAGTACTATTCTGCGTGCTGGATCAATATAATCCTGACAGGGAGGACAGTGTGTGAATCGGGGGTAGTGTGTGTGGAGCAGTGTGTGAATGGGGGACAGTGTGTCTGTGTGGGGCAGTCTGTATGTGGGTGGCAGTGTGTAAATGGGAGGGTAGTTTGTGAATGGTGGTTCAGTGTGTGTGTGTGGGGCAGTGTGTAAATGGGAGGGTAGTTTGTGAATGGGGCGTCAATCTGTGAATGAGGGCAGTGTGTGTGTTGGGCAGTGTGTAAATGGGAGTGTAGTTTGTGAATGGGAGGGGCAGTGTGTGTGGGGGCAGCACTGTGTGAGTGTGTGGGGATTTATTGTGTGGGGGCAGTGTGGGAATTAGGGGGGCACTGTGTGAGTGTGTAGGGAGGTATTGTGTGTTGGGGGAGGGGGACTGATTAAAACAAATGGTTTTAAAAAAAATTAAAATATATATATATATATATATATATATATATATATATGCTTCTTAACTGCCTGGAAAGGGGGATATCGATTGTGATGCCCTGGCGGTTCTAATGGTGAGAGTGAACTCTAGCCTGCAGCTCCTGGGCTAGATTTCACTCTCGCGAGAACAGGGCATTGCCGTGGTAACAGTGCTCGAGAGGAGACCCAGCGGAGCTGCAGATTAGAGCTCTTGGGTCTCCTCTCTCCCTCCCCTGCTGGCTGCCAGCAAAAAGTGCCAGAAGGCCGTGAGGGAGATCATTGATCTCCCCTCCGGTCCGTGAAGGCGCTTGCATAGCGCTGCATGGACCAGCAAGGAGAGCAATTGCCCTGTAATCCCCCCACCCCCCCGGATCTGCCACTGGTATAGATGCTGTGCTGCGCATGTATCTATCGCATACCAAGGATGCATGGTACTGTTGGTGGGAACTTGGTGTTATAAATGTCTACTCAATAAAAAGAGACTTGCAGGGAATTGAGATGGGAACTTTATTTTTTTTTGTAAATATGAATTTTATTGACGAAAATGCAGATGTTTACAAGCGTGCAGATTTGGTGAGGCGACACGCAGGTCTCAAGCATAATGTTAGATATCAATGCATCTAGTTTGACATCATGTTCCTACTCCCACAGGGCTCGCAGGCCTGGTTTTCATTAGGTCGTGTTTCGGCACATTTGCCTGCTTCCTCTCATCCCATTCTCCTTTCTGCTGTAATTCCCCCTTCCTGATTTGTGTTCCTGTGCTCAGGGTGTTGTGCATCTTCTGGTGGGGTCGGTAGGATTATCTGGCTATACCCTGGAAAACTCTGGCCCCTAAGTCCCCTGGGTTCCCGTGTTTATTGGAGTCTTGGGGATCGTGGGGGATAGTCGTACCAACCTAGATGTCAGTATTGTGTGTTCCTTTTATGCGTTTATATTTTTGATATCTGTTCGCTGGACCATATTCCTAGTAGTGATGTACCGAACGGTTCGCCGGCGAACGGTTCCCGGCGAACATAGCATGTTCGCGTTCGCCACGGCGGGCGAACATATGCGCGGTTCAACCCGCCCCCTATTCGTCATCATTGAGTAAACTTTGACCCTGTACCTCACGGTCAGCAGACACATTCCAGCCAATTAGCAGCACACCCTCCCTAGCAGACCCTCCCACCTCCTGGAAGGCATCCATTTTAGATTCATTCTCAAACTGCATGCTTAGTAAGAGGAGGGAAAGTGTAGCTGCTGTTCATAAGATAGGGAAAAGCATAGCTAGGTTAGGGATAAGGGTATGCTTTTTTTTGATTTTTTTTTTCTATGTAATGTAAATGCACTTAGTTGTCTGCCACTGCTGCCAGCTTCTGTGTCAGGCTCACGGTGCCCATTTCCCCAGTCAGTGCCACCAATTACATCTGGTGTCACAATAGCTTGGATTTAAAAACAAAAAACTTTTTTCACTGTTATAGATTGAATAGCAGTCAGTTGTCTGCCACTGCTGCCAGCTTCTGTGTAAGGCTCACAGTGCATACTGTGCCCATTTCCCCAGTCAGTGCCACCACTTACATCTGGTGTCACAATAGCTTGGATTTAAAAAAAAAAAAACTTTTTTCACTGTTATAGATTGAATAGCAGTCAGTGTCCTTAAAAGCGGGTGTGTTACGCTAACAGTGGATACGGTGACCAGTGCCACCACTTAGATCTGGTGTCACAATAGCTTGGATTTAAAAACCAAAACCTTTTTTCACTGTTATAGATTGAATAGCAGTTAGTTATCTTCAAGCAGGTGTGTTACGCTAACAGTGGATACGGTGACCAGTGCCACCAATTAGATCTGGTGTCACAATAGCTTGGATTAAAAAAAAACAAACTATTTTTTCACTGTTATAGATTGAATAGCAGTCAGTGTCCTTAAAGCGGGTGTGTTACGCTAACAGTGGATCGCTGGAAGCCAGTGCCACCAATTAGATCTGGTGACACAAAGCTTGGTTAAAAAAAAAATAATCTTTTTTCACTGTTATAGATTGAATAGCAGTTAGTTATCTTCAAGCGGGTGTCAGGCCTACAGCCTGTGCTCTGCCCAACTGTGCCAGTGCACATTGCCACTCATATCTGGTCTCACAGTAGCTTGCACGCATAGTACCACTAATCCCAACAAAAATGACAGGCAGAGGCAGGCCACCCGCAGGGGCCATCGTGGTCGTGGTGCTGTGATTCCCTTTGGCCCTAGAATAATGCCCAGTTTTCAGAGGCCACGTACCCTGAACTTGAAAAGTTCTGAGGACATAGTTGAGCCGCGTCGCTAAAGCGGGTGTGTTACGCCTAACAGTGATGGCGGACCAGTGCCACCACTAGATCTGGTGTCACAATAGCTTGGATTTAAAAAAAAACCACTTTTTTCACTGTTATAGATTGAATAGCAGTCAGTGTCCTTAAAGTGGGTGTGTCGGGCTCACAGTGGATACGGTGACCAGTGCCACCACTTAGATCTGGTGTCACAATAGCTTGGATTTAAAAAAAAAAACACTTTTATCACTGTTATAGATTGAATAGCAGTTAGTTATCTTCAAGCAGGTGTGTTACGCTAACAGTGGTTATGGTGACCAGTGCCACCACTTAGATCTGGTGTCACAATAGCTTGGATTTAAAAAAAACCCACTTTTTTCACTGTTATAGATTGAATAGCAGTCAGTGTCCTTAAAGCGGGTGTGTTACGCTAACAGTGGATGCGGTGACCAGTGCCACCACTTAGATCTGGTGTCACAATAGCTTCTATTTAAAAAAAAACCCACTTTT